CTCTCTGTTTCTGTCTCTCTGTCTCTGTCTCTGTCTCTCTCTCTCTCCTTTCTTTCATTGGCAAAATGCTGTCAGATTCTCCAGGCAGCCCAGAATGTCCTGTGATTGTACAAAATCTGTTTGAAATGATATTATGATTGCTTTGCAAATGGTGAATTTTGCAACTGCACTTGTGCTAATTGTTATAGTAATTTGGAACATGACAGCAAAAAGTAATAAAGGCCTGCTTGGAAGAAACCCAGAAGCCTTTAACCTGAAGATCAGGAAGGGAGGGAGAATCAGACAGATGCACAGCGAAGGGGGCAAGTGCAAGCAGTCAAGGGTCTCTAATGCCATAAATGCTGAGGCAAAAATAATGTGTTCCTCAATATGCAGCAAGCAGGTTGGAAATCTAAGACAGTTTGGTTTTGGCCACTGTATGCTATACCCTGACTTCAGCCACATCTGCTAAGTGCAGCAGTGTCTTTCTGGGTTTCCTTTGAAATCCTTACAGCCAATACTTTGCATTTTAAATCTTGCTTAATATTGCTTGCTCCCCTTCTAAATTAAATTTTTCTTTTCTTTTTAATTTTATTGTATATATAGATTTCTAATTTGCTTGAGTTTCTTAAGAATCAGATGTCCTATCTTTCTAATTCTATTGATGACGTTTTATAAATTACAATGATTCATACTCTTTGCTGTTGAATGGTTTGGTTCAATAGAAAAAGTCACAGTAGCATTGGCCCTGTGCAGTCATTCTTTGCTTCTAATCTAGAATATACGCAGGTAGAATGTCTACATAAATTCTTATGGGATGTACTCAGGTGGTACTTTGAGTTCTGAAAATCACTCTTTCTTAAAGAAAAATCAGTTTTTTAGGATGGATTCTAGAATAATATCCTGTTGTCTCTTTGGGAATAGCAAAGGAAAAAACTATCCCTAGGAACACTTTTAAAGTGAAAGTTGTTTCACACACATACACAAATGAAGGGATAGTAGGTAATTTTCAGAAGGTGTGCAATGTGTTTCTGTAATGAATGGCTGAGAGGTGCTCTGAGGTGTCTCTATTTTCTTTCAGAATGCTGTTATATGTCTTAAATAAGTTGTCAAAGTGATTACTGTCTACTATAAAAGTGAGTGATGTATGAATATAAATAAAAATTATATAAAGATATTATAGACCTCTATATAATTATCAAGCATAAAATTTGGCTTGGATGAAGAAATAAGGAATACTGAAGCTGTAAGAGATGAATTTAAGGAAGGATTTTTCTCCATATAACTTTCTTTGTAGACTTTTAAACCAAGAACATTCAGACTGATATGTGACTTTTACTTGATTTACTGAAATAGGTCTCCTAAGCAGGCTTTCAAAATTGTAGTGGAATTTCTTTTTATATAGGAAGTTTAATATGGCTTTGTTTTTAGCCAGTGATTGGTAAACTGAATATATGTGTTTTCGTGTAATTGGTAAAATAAACTAAATCATTTTTAGTAAACTGTGAATTTAAGAGCCTATTGTAGTAGGACTCATGATTTTATGACAAAACAAACCATTTTAAAATTCAGGCATTTCATTAGGTACCTTAATCTTTGGTAATTATGAGTATATATGATTACTACATTTCCTACATGTATGTATTACATGTGCATATATGTTTATATGAACATGCAAGATATAAGCAATAGAAAATAAATAATTCAAAAGAGGATTCCATTATTCAGTAAGGTATCTTCTTTTTCAAATTGGGATTTATGAAAGTATAGTGCAGTAACTTTAAATGTAGGTAGTGCAGACATTCTTAGCACCTCAATGTAGTATGCCTAGTTAAAACTTATATAAATGTAAATTAATGCAAGAGGATAAAATAATATCTAATCAAGTTACTTTTCAAAAAATTGCAGTAAGTTTTTGGCCTAAACCTAAACTTTGTTCATTGTGTTTATATTCTGTGTTAACTCAAATTGTACTGAATGACAATTGCACCATGTGGTATATATTTATATACAGTATGTGGAAAATGTTTATGAAATTTTCAATGGTAGACTGTATGATGGCAGTGCTTGAGAATGTTTTGCTTGTAAAAATCTCAAGATACAATTAAATGCTATTAGTTTTTGATTTTCAAGAGGCTACCTAAAGTATTAAGCCTTTTTTCTTCCTCTCCAGCACTTACTAAATAACTTCTTATATGTAGACATTTTCATCAAATTACTGAACAAGATTAATAGCTACATTCATTCAACAATTTTAAAAGATTACTTTAGCAGGGTTAGGAATATAACTTTTTAGCTCTATCTACTCCCAAGATAGAATCATTGAGTTTATATTTACTAGAGCTATACAAACGATACACTTTTTTCTATAGTATCAATAGAACAGGAAAGTAGGTGACACAGAAAATACTATTCTGTAAAGAAACTGTTGCTCCATAGTGATTTTGCAGTACTCAGAATGCAAGACGTCATTAGAGGTCCCCTGCTGACCTGGGTTTTACAGTCTGTGTGACTGGAAGCTCTATTTCTTGCTTTAAAGACTAAGTAGGTTGCTGATGATGGATGAGAGAACTGTGGTCTCAGGTGCGGAGCCACACTGTGCTGAGAAGAGAGACAATACCCAAACCTGCTGCTTTTGCACTAATGCACTGTGGTTTTGCTTCAGATAAAACCACATTTTGTCATTGCTCAGTGCTTTCTCACCTGAACAGAGAGGCTGCTGGATGTCTCTTTCACATGGGAATCCCCACTTGAGGATCATGGGCTCATCAGTGTTTTAGTTTCTGGGTCATTATCATCCTCTATTAAAGCAGTAAAGAAATACAATCATGAAAAGACAAGAATTGCCTGGATAACAATTGGAAAATGACTTGTTTTTGAGATGTGGTCCTGTTATGTTGTCCTGGTTTGTGTGGAACTCCTGGGATCCTCCTACCTTAGATTCCTCAGTAGCTAGGACTATAGGCACTGTACAGGCCTGTGTTAAGTAACTGTTACAGAAATACCTGAGGCTGTCCTGGCTATGCCTGAGCATCCTTCATTCTTAAGTGAAATTTACCAAACTTCACCAGCCCTTCACAATTCAAATGTACCTAATGCTAGCAGAGGTACTAATATTGTGATGGCCCACTCCCGGGATCACATAGAACTCCAATTTGTGGGACAGACTAACTACCACATCTGACCCAAAGTGGCCTGTATCCCACCCCTGAGTTCATCATTACTCCCATGCCACGCATGCCCATTCCACACTTGTGCCTCATCAGCAACTTGAGCAGATGGAGGAAGTAGCAGTGTCCTCAATGTCCTGAGCTCTCTTCAAGGAAATTCTAAAGCAGGAGGATTGTTAGTTTGAGGCCAGCCTGGGCTATAGAGTAAGTTTAAGATCTACCTAGACTGTACAGCAAGACTATATAGAAAAAAAGAAAGAAAGAAAAATGGATCTCATCATATTAAAAAGGGTTGCACAGCAAAAGAAACCACCAACAGAGTGAAGAGGCAACCCACAGAATGGAAAACAAAATTTGACCAGCTCTTCCTCAGATAAAAGACTTATCTAGACTATATAAAGAACTAAAAAAAATCAGGCCTCCCCCCAGTTTAAAGACCCAATCGAAGATGGGCATCTGAAGTGAATAGACACTTCTCAGATGAAATACACACAGCAGATAAATATATGAAAAAATGTTCACCGTCAATAGTCACTGGAAAGATGCAAATTAAAACAACACTGAGATTCCTCTTCACTCCAGAAAGAATGGTTATCATGGAGAAATCAACCAACAACAAATTCCGGCAGGGCTGTCGGGGAAAAGGAACTCTTCTCCACTGTTGGTGGGAGTGTAAACTGGTATAACCAATGTGGAAATAAGTATATCGATTCCTCAAAAAACTAAAATTAGAGGTTTCATTTGACCCAGCTATTCCCCTTCTTGGTATCTTTTCAAAAGAGTTAAAAGCATGTTACCACAGTGATATATGCAAACCTATGTTTATAGAAGCACAGTTGGTAATAGCTAAATCTTGGAAACAGCTCATATGCCCATCAAATGATGAATGGATGAGGAAGATGTGGTTTTTATATACAATGGAGTACTACTCTGTCATAAAGAAGGATAAACTTGAGACATTTCGAGGTATATAGGTGCACTTTGAGACTTTTCCTTTAGGTGAAATAAATCAGACACATTTGTTTAAACACCACATTTTTTCTCTTGTGTGAGAAACCAAAGGAGTAAATAAGGATCAAAATGGATGATAGATATTGGGAAGTAGTAAGACAATGTTCAAACGGGAAGAGAAACAAGGGAGAGTGGAAGGGGGAGGGAAGGAAGGGAGAAGAAAAAAACAGTGGAAGGAAAAAATGGAAACAAAGCATTTGTAAATAAGGAAGGGAAGAAGGGTTGAAGGAAGGGGATGGCAATGGGGGAAAAAAGAAGAATCAAGTTATATTATATACAGGTACAAATTCCCTATGATGAATGTGACCATTATGTATATCAAAAGTGTACCAATAAAATTAATATTTTTTTAAAAGCTGTGTACAGTGCCTGAAACACCCTACACACCTCAGACTTGCAGAACGATTCTTTTAGCCCTTTAAAACGTGCTGCTAGGAAAGGGGATTTACTACAAAACCAGAAGGTCTGAGGTTGTTTTATTAACTGTATTAGATGTCATGCCAAACAGGCGTCCCCTTCCCCACCCTCGAGCCAGGGAGTCTTCTTACATCTACACTGGATAAACTTCTACCAATGCAAACGTGTGCGGACCTGTGGAGTCGCCGCTCTAAGTTGTGCACTGATGATTCAGTCGATGTGCACTTCTCTTTCCCTGGCAGCGGGGGCCACCGAAGCTAGAAGGTCCCTCGGGAGATCCAACCTTTGGGGCGACTTCCCCAGCCTTGCAGCCCCTGGGCGGTAGCAATCCCAGAGGCCTGGCTGAGCGCCTAGCATGCCCGCCCTGGGCGTGGACCGCGCACGTCCGCTCCAGTACCCGGGTTATAAAGGAAGCCAGCGGCTCCCACAGCGCAGGCAGAGGTTCGCATCCGCCGGGCTTTCCGCTGAGGTCCGAGTCTCTGCTTCCCAAATCCAGGTCTGAGTGGACATCCCAAAGGAATAGCCCAAGTAGGTGGGCGTGAAGTTAGGGGACTCCCCCCGGAGGTCTAGTCTTTCCAGGTTCCCGAGCTGGGTTCACGCTCGGAGGGTGCAGGGTGCAGAGTGCAGGGTGCAGGGTGCCGGGAGCAGGGGGCAGGAGGCAAGGGGCAGGGGCCAAGGAGCAGGGAGCAGGGTGCGGAAGATCCCCGCGCCCTCCAGTCGCTACAGAAGCTCCGGAGCAGCGGTTTCCTGCTCGGCCGGCCACACTCATCGCAGCGCTCCAGGTTTCGGCTGGAGGCGGTGGATCGAGGAAGCCCTGCCCGTGGGAAGGCGCCGGGAGGGGGATCGGCGGGGCCGCGGGTGGGGCCCTGTCCCACCGCCCCGCGAGGGCTCGCTCACTCCTGGGAGTTTGGGGACCCGGGCGCAGGGTCTCCTGGCGCCTGCAGCTGTGCGCTGTGGTTTCTCCGCAGGTCACCATGGATGGGGATGGGGACTCCGGTGGAAAAGCCGGGAAGAACTTCTGGAAGCCCAGAAAGAAAAGGTAAAGGGTTTGTTTAGCTTTCGTAGTTTACATGGTTTGAGGGATTGGGGTCGTTTTTTTCTAGCTTCCAGCGCAGAAATAAGCGATGGCTGGGGGTAACGGTTACTGAAGTCATGCGGTCCCCTGGTTAGAGCAGTTCCTTGGCTGAGTTGGACCCGGCATGTACATCCTCCCTGGGTCTTCGTGAGGCTCTTCCGCAGCTTTCTGGACCTAGACAGCGCACATCCTTCTTTGTTTTGTTACCGTCTGCTTTACAAGCAGTGTTGCTCGTGATACCCACTTTCTGCTCTGTGGTCCAGTATCTTCCTTCCGATAAACAGCCGCGTAAATGTGGCTTGTTTGTGGAGTGGCAGAGGAACACAGAAGGCCAAAGTTACACTTCAGTTGTTTTTGTTTCGTTTTAACTGGACATGACTATAAAGTTGGTAATGGAACGACAGAGAGAAAATAATTTTCTTAAGTACATTTTGATCACAGTGTATACAGAAAATTTTAATTTCATAGGTTCATCATTAATAGAAAATTATAATGTACACTGTAAGATAAAATGTATTAGTAAACTTATTAATAGAAGTAGAAACCAAGCTTTTCAGTGTAAGAGAAAAAAATACAAATGTAGAAATAAGTAAGGTTGGTTTTCAGGTCACTAAAAAGGACATCAGAAAGAAGCATTCTTCCAGCCAGAACTCAGCTTTTATAAACCGTTCCTCGCTGAATAGAGGAGCACCCGTGGGGAAGAAGGTGGCTTCAGACCTGGAAAGAAGCTCAGGGTGTCCCTTAGGACCCAGAGGAAGGAAGTAGGTTTGAGAGGAGTGGACACGGGAGCAGGGGCTTGAAGGGGCCTCCACTGGCCAAGTCCAGGACAAGTTGAGCATAAGAGAAAATAAAAACCATAATTTACCATGAGATACTGAGCACAGTACAGTTGAGGGATCTGTGAAAATATTGTGAGAGGAAGGGAACTGAGAAGGTGTGCCAAGTAGAGAAAATAAAGGAATATTCTTCACAGAACAATTCTGCTGTGCTATGGGAACCTGCATTGTCATACCACGGACCCTTGATTTAGGAACTCAATCTGATCCGAGGGTTGGTTGTAACGCAAGCTGTGACTTGAGGTCTCCAGCTCCTCTATACAACCTTTGAAGTTCCTCTCTTGTATACAGGAAGATCTCAGTGTCCTTAGAGAGACACTGGCCCAGGATTTCTCAGTTAACCCCATACAGGAAAGGATGTTGTCATGTTCCTTCCAGAACGCTTTAAGGATTAAATCTGTATCTGAGACCATCTGGAAGCACAAGTGGCCGACACTCAGGTCATAACTCAAGACTTTGGTCCCAAGTTAAAACTAAAATTCTGGTCATAACCCAAATTGTTGTTTGAGGGTCCACTGTAATTGATTGAGGCAATGATGGAATTGATTCAAGCAATTGTCAGTAGTTCCTAAACTGTTCAGAGAAAAGCAGTATCTAATAATTGTCTCCACAATTCTTACTAATGCAAAGGAGAGTGTAATTTTCTAGTGAAAAAGTTTACAGTTAGTGCTTCAACCTTGTGCTCAGACTTAGCTTCACTCATGCAGAAAAAGACCAGGAAGCTGCTCATACGTGACAAGATTTGAATGTACAACACCATATAGACAGTATGCTCCCAAAAACACTTTAAAAATTTTTATTTTTATTAGTATATGTTCATAGTACTTAATGATTACACGCATTGTGGGGAATTGGTACATGTACACAACACATCTCAATTCTTTTATTTTTCCCTTCCCATTTTTTTAATTTTTGCCAGCATCAGATTCATTTCTTTATAAGTCCTTATCAAGTTATCACAATATTTAGGGTGAATCCAATCAGGCTGCTAAACTGGTGCTATACAGTAGAAATATAATGGGAGTCGTATTTCTAATTTAAAATGTTCTGAAGTGAATATTAAAATGAAAAGTAACAGGTGAAGTTAATTTGTAAAATTTCATGGCATGATATAACCAAGATACAATAACTTCTACATGTAGTAAAGTTATAAGTAAGTTCACATTTTTTTTATAGTAACTCCTACATTATAGGGTGTAGTTTACATTTTCTGTACATCTCCATTTGTATTCATTTTGAAAGTGGTATATCCAAAATGTGGTATGCTCCGGAACTGCTCCTTTTCCTTCAAAACAGTCAATGTTTAAAAAAAGAAAAAGGGGAGGACTTCTTGGTTGAAAGATTTAACAAAAATAACTATCAAATATAAAGTTAGAACTCTGACAAAATTAGAGTACAAAAAGAAAAATACCTATAGAAAGTACTCCAGAAAATTTGAATGTGAATTTTATGTTAGATAATATCAAAATTAATGTTAATTTTCTTAGCTGTGATAGAGGTAGGAATGCATGTGGATTGCTCTAGTGCCTGCAACCTACATTTAAGTGGTTTAGCAGAATATTAACAAAATGCTAATGTGCAATTCCTTATATAGAAAAAGTATGGTAAAGTGTTAGTCATTGATAAATCTAAGTGAATTATATGGGTAGTCACTATACTACTTTTTAAATTTTTCTGTTGATTTGAAAATTTTCATAACTTTTCATGTATGCATAAAGACTCCAGAGAGTAGAATGGATAGTATACCTTTTATTTTTACATTTTTTTTCTCCTTTCTGACATTGTAGATTAAGTACCATGCTTGTTAAGGTACAAACAGTTAGGTGTATTTGAGTCAGAATTACTGAATACATGTAGTGGGAGATGGTAATGAAAATTGATACTATACATATCTTCATTTTTATAATTGGCCCTCAAACTTTTTCAAACTAGAGATTTTTTGTAAGTACTTACTAAATTGTGCTTATGATTTATCTTACTTCCTTTTGTGATCCTGGGATCCAACACTGGACCTTGTATGCTAAGCAAGTGCTTCTCTCCTGCTGGCCGCATCACCATTGATTTTAGTCTGTAACGAACACTGCCTGTTTTAACTTCAGATTGTGAAAGAGGCCTGGGCTATGCTAGTACGTAATGGTGGGATAATAGTAGTTTCTAAAGTATCTGTGTTTGAAAAAACTATTAGAATGATGTTTGGTGAGCGGTTTGCCTTTGTAGGCTTTGTGGTTCCTGCTGATGAGTATGTGAAGCATGTAGTAGGTGTGAGACTCCTGCGAAAGTATATTCCCATGCAGTGCAGTACTGTGCCTCACAAACTAGAGGTCACACCATACAGCTTGGTTGGTACTCAGGGAGCAGACTTTGCAGTTTAAATTTTGGCTTTGTTCCAGCAGTTGGACCTTGGACAAGTTAATTTTTTTTTTTTTTTCTTCTATAGTTTTCTCATCTCTAAGAGGACAAAAATGTGCCTTTCTGAGACTTGTTTACAGATAATGTGTGGGAAGTGCTTACTTAGCCACTGTCTAAAATATATAAGTTCTTCAATATAGTATCAGTTTTAAGTAACTAACAAAATAACTGCCTTGGAGCTCAAGCTCAGTCACTTATGTCCATTTCCATCTTTTCATCCTGGTGTGGGGATACGCCTGTACTAAGGACAGGCTGGCACTAGGCCTGAAATTCTTGCACAGTTCCACAGATTTAACATCACTCCAAAGCCAAAGGGAATAAACCCTGGATTTCCTTTTCTTTAGAAATCTCTTCATCTCTTCAGACTTCATTTAATGTAAACAACCAAGACCAAGGTGAATTTAAAATTCTGTGCCAAAATAGTGCTGCTCATGTCTGAAGTAGTCTTTTTATATGTACGGGAAATGAGGCTGGAGTGCTCTGGTTAGTTTGTGTTCATATCCTTTATGGCACTTACATGCGGTGGAGAAGATGGGTTACTGAGTTAAAATGAATTGAATCTGGGCTCAAATAATAATTGGCCTTTTTATACCGAAGGACCGTTTTTTCCCCATCTTTCTGCAGTCATAGTTCTTCTAGATTCCATTTATTTCCATAATGGTCTTCTTTGGGCTCCAGACATTCCTTCAAAATTAGATTTGCTCTTAAGTGTTTAATTAGTTTTTATCTTCAACTAGTGATGCCCAAGATCTGATCCCCACTGCTCTCCATTCGTAGAGATAATGATTAAGAATAATTCTTAGGGGGTAGATAGAATATCTACTAGAGTTACCTTGATGGAAATTAAACAGATTGATTTCTGGGACCATGAATGTTTTCCACTTGGAATAAAAATAGGAAATTACTTTTTAGTATGTATTTTTCTCATTAGCAAAGATGTGCTTTGTATATTCATCATTGAAATCTAGAAAATACCCCAGACCCAAGGAAGAAAATATTTTTCCAGAAATCCCTATACTTAGTGATAAGCACATATGCAGGTTTCATAGATGTATATAAATCTACTTATATTTAAAGCTCATAAATGATACTTTACTAATAACTTATTTTTACCAAATACTATATTATGGACATGTTCCTTTGTCTTTACATAATACAGTCTATAAATTAATTTGGTAATTTAAAATTTTTCTGTAATTGTAAATATTTTCAATGATTCATTTCCTATTTTTTCAGTAAAAAGGAAAAGAAACCAACTGTCAGTGTGTTTGCAATGGTGAGTTGTGAATTTATTTACTATACAGAATAATTTGAAAATCTGACTTCTACTTCATAGAAAAGAGACATCTTACCTGGTATAATATTTTCTTAAAGAATATGGCAATGGAGATCCAAAAATCATTCATGCTTAGCCTATTTCCAATGAAATGCTTATCATAAGTTGCCATGAGAGTTACATCCCAACAGCCATCATTCTTGATGACTACTTTAATAGTCTCCTGATAAGTTATGTTGTTAGTAATCTGTTGCCTAGAGACATTTTCCTAGGGATAGTCTTTGCCACCTTGATAAAAGAAGCTGCTATATTCCTTGCTGTCTTTTTGTTTTCCGGTACCGGGAATCAAACTCATGACCTTGGGCTTGCCAGGCAGGAGCTGTGCCGCTGAGCTAAATCCCCAGCCCCTCCTTGCTGTCTTAAATAGCTCTGAAATCCTGGCATGTTCAAGGTCAGAGTCTCAAGCTTCCATAATAATAAAAGGCACGAGAGGATTATGCATTCCTGTAACTTAGTGTATGTCTGTTTTCCTCTGTGCTGAACATTGAAAGTTTAGTAGTTGAAAACCTTAATTCTGTTTTCTAGGTCCATGGTGGTTATTTAGAATCTTTCTTTTAACTCTACTTGGGATAACACAGGAATTTTGTGGTTGAGGGTGGTTATTGATGATCTGCCTCTCTACCTGGATCTTTACTTCCTTTTTTTTTAAGTGAATAAACTTACATGAATTTACGTGAACTGTCTAGGAACCCAGGAGATCACGTAAACAATTAAATCTTGCAGCACACACTTTCATTTCACTCGTTACATATTGGACATCTTTTTAAGTGGTGAGAAGTAGTTAGGCAGTCATGGAGCTAGATCTTAGTAAATGGAGTATAAAAGTCAGTGTGGATAGGGAAAACAACCCATGTGACCTTTGCAGAGAACTCTGTGGTTGTCTGACATCCTCTTCACCTTCCTGTGCTGCCGTGACTTTGCCACAGCCCTTGTTCTGCATGCTTCCTTTGCAGTTTCAGGGTGTTGAGACCAAGGGCTCAGTCATTCACAGAAGGGCAGTTTGAACATCCTTTGACAGTGCTCATTTAAGATTATTTCCATTAGTACATTCTTGCCCAGAAGGGATTTTTTTTATGTAAGTCTGATTTATTTGTTTAAATATTTTGAGAGAAAACATTTATCTTCTGGAAATTTTTGTTTGTTTTTGTGTGTATGCATGCTGGGGATTGAACCTGGGGCCTCAGGCGTGGTGAGCACACACTGTTCCACTGAGCTAAGCCTTCAGCCCTATACTTTAGTTTCTCTTATTTATAGGTTAAAATTTTTTTAAACCTAGAATTCTATTGCTTTAGAAAATGTAACATAACAGGCCACAGAAGGGTATAAATCCAGAGCTTGAATGTGCGGTAACCATGATAAAACTCACAGAGCACAATGTGCCAGGAATTGTTCTTGGTGATGCTATTCAAAGTCACCTAACTCTGAAAACTCTGTGTGACGTGGATGCTGTTACCATGACACCTTTACGAATGAAAAAACTCAGGCCAGGCATGAACTTGCTGAGGACATGCAGCAGGGCTAGGATAGATGCAGTTCATTGTGAGCCTCCCGGGGAGGTGCTAAGGTGGCTTTTCTCACGTCTTCAACCTGAACGGTCAATACAAAAAACTAAATGTGAACCTAACATGTATGTAAAACCTGTAAAGACAAAGACATCATCTGCAAGTTTAATGGTGCATGGTGATGTTACTGGCAGTGTATATGAATAACCACTTCTAGCTAAGACAAAGACCCATGTGCCAGAATGCCCATGAACCCCAGGTTCTGTGGCACTTTAGGAAGTCTTGACAAGACTCAGTATCCTGCTGGCAGCTAATACTGGGAAAGTTTTCAATTAGTAGTTATTGTACCTCAGATGAGTTTCACTGGCCATGATACTGCCACTCTGTACCCTGTATTCTGTAAAGAATATAAAGTACAACCTGCGAGTGTCACCTAAAAAGACATCCAGCAGAAACCAGGCACACACTCCCAGTGGAGTTAGCACTGGGCACACCTGTTTTCCCAGAAGTGAGTTGTGACAATGCGTGAAACCTTGTGTATCAGTAAAGCTTGTCAGACCCTCAGTGCCCAACATTGTTACTAAGGGATGACTCTGAAGGCACCTTCTGTCCAGCATGTATCAAAACTCCAGGCTTATAAGGACAGCAAGTGTCTGGCATAAACACATTGGACACATAAGGACATTAGACACATAAAGACAGGATTTATGTCTGGCATAAACACATTGGACACATAAAGACATTGGACACATAAGGACAGGATTTATGTCTGGCATAAACACATTGTTTGTACAAATAATTTGGTCACACTTACTAGTGTGAGTAGTGGTAACCTTCCCCAAATTCAAGCTCCTGATGGCAGCTGAGACCTACCTTGTGTGTGGGGGTCTTTCTAATGAGAGCGAGATTCTTCACTACTCACTATCTACTAACTCATTTATACCTCTCAGCAGCCTTCAACATTATCCACCAGATTATTTCTTCCCTTGGCCCTTGTGACGTTACGGTGCACTGGTTTTTCACCCCAGCTCTTTCGCTTTTACTTGTGTCTTCTTTGGCTGTGAAGTTAGACTTCCTCAGTCTTTTATTCTAGGACTAGGTGATGGTTTTGACAGTCCTCTAGTTCTACAATCATTTCCAAGAAGTTTTTGATCTTTATGCAAACCCTCTTTCTCTTTCAAGTTCTCTCTGCAGAATTACACTATCTTCTACATATTTTCAGAGGTACCCTCCACCTATTTCTAATTACTCCTTTGTCATTGAGGACTTTGCTTTATGATTGCTTGCACTTCAGTGACCTGTGTTACAGTTATTCTGCTGAGTATTTTAGTTCCTTCATGAATGGTCAGAACTCCTCTGACCTCTGGGGTTTTACTACCCACTTGTACTCAGTCATTTTCACTTGTGGATGGAGGACTTTGGGCTCATCTGCCTAGACAGCTTCCGTCTCTAGATATGTAAACTTCGATCTATCCATCTTTCACCACAGTGTTCATTAGTTCAAGGTTTGACCTTTATCTTAGTTACTTTTTCTCATTGCTGAGAAAAAATACCCAACACCTAAAATTAAAGGAGGAAAAGTTTATTTTGGCTCAGTTTGTAGAGGTTTCAGTTTGTAGTTGGCTGGCTCCCAGGCAGGGTGGTACCACACAGGGAACAGTTCAGGTCAGGCAGAAGACAGAAGTCATCCAGGCAGCAAGCAGCAAAGTAGTGAAGCAGCAAGCAATGACAGCACCCTCTTTCTGTCCCTTATATTCTATCCGGGCTACCCACCATAAGGGTGGGTGACACTCACACCCAGGGTGAGCCTTCCCATTACCCACACCCAGAACTATGCCAAACCAATCGGTAGACTAATTTAGCAATTACACACCCTGGGTCCTGGAATCACAGATCCTAGATCCAGGCACCTCTGAAAAGCCCCACTTATGACCACATGAGGCTTTGGGGAGATGTCTAGACACAGCCATAACAGCTTTCCTCTTTAATTGCTTTTCTTTTTCCTTTTCCTTTCCTTTTTCCTTTTCCCTTTTCCCTTTTCCTTCCCTTCCCTTCCCTTTTCCTTCCCTTCCCTTCCCTTCCCTTCCCTTCCCTCCCCTCCCCTCTCCTTCCCGTCCCGTCCCTTCCTTTCCTTTCCTTTCCTTTCCTTTCCTTTCCTTTCCTTTCCTTTCCTTTCCTTTCCTTTCCTTTCCTTTCCTTTCCTTTCCTTCCCTTCCCTTCCC